CCTGATGGTACGTGATGATGATAATTCTCTGTAGTCGTCATCTGTACGTATTCTCTGCTGAAGTGTTGACTCAGATTCCGCACTCAGGTTTGGGTTGAGACGGTCCTTTTCTTACTGGTGAGCTAGTCACCCTTCCCCACGCATTCAACTCTCTTACCTTTTATAACAAATGTAATGGCATAATGTTTATATTTTATGAGGTTTTTGCTTAGGATAAATTTTATACAAAAAATGCCATGACAGATTATGAGAACATTTTTACTATGTTTGACCTATACTTTCCAAGCTAATTTACTAAAAATGTTCTTTCCTAATGACTACAGAGGGCTACATGAGTTATCAATAAGGATTCACAGATACTTGTCTTCCATCAAGCCATAATTTCCAAATGAGTGAAATAAATTCATGAAATGGAAGACCCTTCTTCAGCGTTGTCCCAACAAAAGACACTCATCCAGCTCAGCACCCACGATGTCAAACTGTACAAGTGTACGCTGAGAGAGCAAATGAAGGTGAAAGTACACCAGGCCCTGCCAGTTTTATATCATTTCAGTGAGTTAAATCCTCTAATGTCTTAAGGAGTGCGTGAGTCATCCTTCTAAGACCCTGGTCAGGCAAAAAGAGTTGGGTCACTTGTGAATGTGTGTCCACCACATCAGTCCAGAGCCAGCAGAAACAGAAAAGAGCTTTCGAGATAAAGACCTTTAAAAAAAAAATGCTGTTAGCCAGGTGGTGGTGGCGCACGCCTTTAATCCCAGCACTCGGGAGGCAGAGGCAGGCGGATCTCTGTGAGTTCAAGGCCAGCCTGGACTACAAGAACTAGTTCCAGGACAGGAATCAAAAAGCTACGGAGAAACCCTGTCTCGAAAAATCAAATAAATAAATAAATAAATAAATAAATAAATAAATAAATTGTCTTGGTCCTGAAAGGAAAAAAAAAATATATATATATATATATACTTAGATAAACACACACACACACACACACGTACTTAATAATGCTTAAAGAAAAAGAGACTGGCCAGGTGATAGTGGTGCACGCCTTTAATCCCAGCACTTGGGAGTCAGAGGCAGGTAAATCTCTGTGAGTTCGAGGCCAGCCTGGTTTACAAGAGCTAGTTCCAGGACAGCTAGGACTGTTATACAAAGAAAGCCTGTCTTGAGAAACAAACAAACAAGCAAACAGAGGGTGAAAGTACATAGGAGAAGTCGGGAAGAGGAAATGGGCAGGATAAATTATGTAATTACATTATAATCTCAAATACTAATATATGTATATATGGAGTCAAGATAGAAGGCCAGAACCAAACACACTGTTCAAAGGCCTAAGATTTTTGTGTTGGACACCTGTGTTTGTTAACTGAGTTACTTGCATTTTACAAGTTTTCTCAAAGGAGACTGCTATATGCTTTTATGACGTCAGCCTTCCCTCCACCCCTAGACTAGTTGATTGATCCATGAAAGGACTCATGGATCATACTAGACTTGTGAGTCATATTTCAGGAAATTGAGAGGACAATATAGATACATGGGAAAAATATAAAAATATCCTACTAAAGGTCATCCTATACTTTGGTTTTATCTCGCCTATTATTAGTTATGCAAATCATCTCCCAAGAAAAAGTGGAGTAAGTGCTGCTATGAAATACTGTGCACTGACAATTTTAAAATTCCGCACCTCAAAAATGAGGAGGATGAAATCACATGACACATGCTTCAAATCTTTCCCAGTCTAATAGACAGGAGTGGCCAAGAGATCATGGCATATTCCTCATCTTGATTTTTCCCTATTGTGAACAGATGGGAGCTCCGCTATTTAAAGAATAGTAGATTCTGGTATTTGGCCATTATCCAAAGCTAAACGAGAGAAGGAGCAGCGTTCATCTGGCTCAGTAGCAGAAGACAACTAAATATAGACGCCCAGCCAGCCACAGCAAGGGTGCACGCTGCTGTGCAGGGGGTGCTTCTTTGTGGTAGCTAAGGGCTTTGTCCCTCCACTTGCTACCTGGCTACTACATCATTCTGATATATTTAATTCATTATTTATATTTCATGGTCACATCTATAACCTCTCATTATTATTATTTATTATTATGGTTGTTAATATTATTATGATGCTTTTGTTGTTGCTGTTTTGCTGTTGCTGTTGTTGTGTCCAGAACCAAACTTGGGGTCTTGTGTGTGTGTGGCTCCCATCAAGCCACAGCCCCAGGCAACAGTTCCATTTAGTAAATGTCCTGATTCACAAGCTGAAGCCAGTCTAGGTTTTCTGAATCCAGTGAATCAAATGTGATATTATACTTTTAAAAAGTTTTATTCCAAAGGTTATGGACAAAAACAATCTCCTTTTTATGAGAGATACTGTCCCCTTAAAGATGTGGTCTCCTGCGAGTTTCTGAGGTAGAGTCAAGTACTTTTATTAAGTTGCCACTCATGTCTTGAGCAACTGTGGGAGCTGCTTTTCCCGTACACAGAGTAGCAGTGGAACATGCACCTGCAATGCTGGGGCCTTCCCTGTGCCCTGCAGTGTCCATGATTTTTAGACTTCTATGGAGAGAAGTAAGGAAACACTGTGTGGAGTGGGCACCATAGAAGCACAGTGCTGGTGGTGTATTGATTAGAAGAACAAAAAATGAAGGGACACTGTTTCACAAGAGCAGCTTTGGCGATGCTACTGATAAAAATTACACCTCCACGGAGACAGGAAGCAAGCAGAAACAGAAGACAGCTGGTGGGAAACTCAATGTCAAGCTGAACAAAAGGAGGCTGCTACAAGGGGATATGAGGTATAAGTTTCAAAACCCGGTAAGAACTCTACCGTTAGCAGTCAGGTTGTTTTTGCAGGGTAGAAAACTCTGGAGCCTGGGAGTGCTTATGGGGAGTCCTTCGGGGATGGTAACCGCATCCTAGTTCTTCATTTGAGCATTGGTTACATGGCTGTGTTGAATCATTCATCGCAATTTATCAAACTCTATAAGTTTTCAATCTTAAGATATACCAATTTTAATAAAAAGGAATAAGTACTACAATCCAAAACCACAGAACTACAGTAATCCCTGCCAAGATGGCAACATCTTTTAAACTGTAGATTACTATGTTTTTAAATGATAAACTACTAAAACTTGCAAATGTAACTATGAAACTTTTAAAATTATGACTTACAAATGGCTATTTTTTTTAAAACCTCTCGGCCTTCTGCACATTTATTAAATTAAGTTTGATTCTTTTGCTAGCTATCCCTAAACAATTCACCACATTTGTCTTTTAAACACAGACAAAAATCTAACCTAAAATTTTATGTGGTTTGACTTACACATTGCAAACCACACTGCATCATTTCTCATTGATTTCTGTAACCTCATTGCTTCTAAAGCTGAGCTGACTGAATTATACAGGCTTTGGTCATTGGCAACATTTCAGCCTGGTCTCATTCTTTTTTTTTTTTTTTTTTTCAACTGATCTTCTTTTTAAATATTTATTTATTTTTGTTTACAGTGTTCTGTCTGCATGCGTCCCTGCAGGCCAGAAGAGGGCACCAGATTTTATTACAGGTGGTTGTGAGCCACCATGTGGTTGCTGGGAATTGAACTCAGGACCTCTGGAAGAGCAGCCAGTGCTCTCAACCTCTGAGCCATCTCTCCAGACCTGGTCTCATTCTTTATTCCATGGGACTTTTAAAGGTTGGGTGTTACTACAAAACACAGATAGAATGTCATCCTAATTTTAGAAGCAGTACCATACCCTGGACATCTGTAGTTGGCCACAAGCTTGTTTTAAGCACAGTGAAGCTGCAGGACCTATTCATCTTCATAGTAAATAAATGGGCAACTTAAAGGGCAAGTCAGATGGATGGATTGCCTAGTCCTTCTCCCTCTCAGATGGCACTTGTTATTTCTACATTCCTCCCGGGTCCTGGTACAGCTTCCTGCTTACAGTTGTGGTGGGAAAAGAGTCACCAGGGGGGTCTGTTTCAGGCCCTTGTTCCGAGTTGTTTGTATTGTGCTTTCCATTAAAGCTCTTCTCTTTCTCTAAAGGCATGTGTGATGGAAGAGCCACTCCAGGGCATATCACCAGTCTTCTGTGTTCACAAGAGCGGGAGGGAGGAGAGAGAGAGAGAGAGAGAGAGAGAGAGAGAGAGAGAGAGAGAGAGAGAGAGAGAGAGAGAGGCGCACAGAGACAGGCAGGCAGACAGACAGAATCAAAAGCAGAGAGCAGAGACTACTACAAAATTCTCTAAATTTTCATTCCTCTGATCTGATCTGAGAATTCCCTCTTGGTATTCTGAATTTCAGGATCCTGTAACCTTGACTCAGAATGCCCCTGAAGTGATTGTGTATTTATTATTAATGATTTAAGTATTTTCTCCAAATTATTACCTGACTCACCGTTGATATGGTGTATGAAAAAGGCAGTAGACTATTTATCCTCCCCTTTGTACTGTGACTAGGCTCAACATAACAAACTGAAATTCATTTCTCTTGGCATCCTTCCCTATACAATTGAGAGTGCTGGTACAATCAGTGATTTTGAATCCCTTCTCTGTGGCTAGTTAACGCACAATGAAGTCTGTAAGAGGATCAGGTGCGCATCTCTAATTCAGTCCGAGAAACATATTCCTAGCACACACTAGCTGCACCAGAATTCGTGGCTTCACTGAACTGGCTAAGGCTGATGTGGGGCAGGAAACCAGACTGTCCCAGAAGTTCCCAGTTCTCTAGACTTCCTGGATCTTCGGGTAGAGGCAGACGGTATCTCTTCAAACTCTCATTCTCTTTCCTTCTGATAATCCTTCGTTTCTCTTCCTAGGTTAGGACAGGCACCATTGACTCGTGAGCAAACTGTCTGTGTCATCAATCCCTATGGAGACACAGAACTGGCTTAGAGTGCAGGCTCCTCCTGGGACAGATGAGACGACGTTGGGAAACGGTTGCTTGGCAAACCAAGCATAGATGAAAGCAAACTTCCTCTTCGCGTTTCTCAATGCTCTGTCGGAATCTGTACCCTTGGTAAGGAAGCGGCCTTTGAGCTCAGTTCTTCAGGCTCTACCAGGTATAGGTTAAGGAAGTGCTTTGCTTCTGGATACTTTTTGCTTTGTTTCTATGTACTTCTTTTTATATTTATTACTGCTTTTTATTGAGGCATTGTTTCTTGCAAGGTGAGGTAAGAGTCTCTCATGATCATGTACATGGGTAAAGGGTTTCAGAGTTGAGGTAATGCTTTTTAGTCTGTATAAAAAGCCATGAAAAATAAAGCTTGTTAGGCAGTTGTTCATACTCTGCATTCCCATGTGTTCTGATTTGCCCGAGACCCTTTCCCGGGGACCCCAACGCACCAGATGTTGAAAAATCCCCAGCCCTGATGGCTGCAATTTCTCATTGGAAGCTAAGGCACTCCTGTTAATTTTCTCCTTAGACGACACACATTGCTGTATTTTGCTGCTGTTTTTAGTAGATGTTAGAACTTGAAAAAGGGGATATTTCCTTTGCTTTACTGATTTTTGGGAAAAAGAAGTAGTCAAATTTAGTTATAATTTAGAATTCTACTTTTTAAAATAAACTTAGCCAGATCTTATTAGCTTTGGTTACCTTGACTTCTGCCCATTTCTGTTTTGTTTTGGAAAAAAAAAAAAACCTCTCATCATTGCCAGTTTTTCCTAAACTCTGCTCTTTACTTAAAATGAATAATTAAAATCATGCAACTAAAAACATCAGAAACCCTGCAGTCAAAGTAATTTATTTTAATTAAAATTTGATTCACAGGATTCAAATTTGTCCCATAAGGCAAAAACATGCAGCCAAATTCGGAAGATGTCTTGGGAGCCTGGAAAAGGTCTGTCAGCATTTCTAAGTACCAGTATAAGCTTGAGATCATTAAAATGACTCTGGGGAAATAAATAGTAATGATGAGAGAGATACAGATATTAATGTATATTTCAATGTTTGATCTGGAGAGACTATGGACACTGGTAGGCTCCTAAGTTTGTTGACATTGACAATTTTGAAAAAGAAATCTAATAATATCTAAATTCTGTGTTTAAGTACAAATTTTAAGGTTCATAATAGCAAACTAAGGTTAATATAAAGATAGGTGATCAAGAGCAGGGATCGAATATATGCCTTACCTGAAAAGTAAATTCCTTATTTTACAACTGGAATTCAAGTTTTAAAGAAGCATACTTGTAAAGCTGGACATAGTATTACAAGCTTTTATTCTCAGTACCCAGGACGCAAAGGCAGTCTGAGTTCAAGGCCAGACTGGTCTGCATAGTGAGTTCCAGATAGCCAGGAATATACAGTGAGACTCTGTCTCAGGACAAATAATCAAATCAAAAACCATGAAACAAATGAACCTTGTTGTGGAATATTACTTTAACTAGGTAAAGATAATGTGTTACATTTGTTTGTGTTGCAAAATAATTGTTTAGTTATGTAAAGTATCTTACATTTGTTTATGCTGCATTTGTTTAACTATGTAAAGATGTGCTGCTGTTTCACCTTGCCTGCCTACAGCGCCTGATTGGTCTATAGAAAGCTGGATGTTTGTGCCTCGTGGTGGTGCACGTTTTTAATACCAGCATTGGAAGGCAGAGGCAGGTGGATCTCTGTGAGTTTAAGGCCAGCCTGGTCTACAAGAGCTAGTTCCAGGACAACTAGGACTGTTATACAGAATAAACCCTGTCTCGAAAAACCAAAAAGAAATTATATTACCAAGCCAGGTTCTGGCTCTGTCTGTGGACTCTGGCTGTGCTGAGGCAAGCCCAGGCTGACTCATGTTGGCTCTCCATCACCTGGCATCTTTTCTCCTGACCACTGGTTTCCTTCACACCTGACATTTGTTCTGCAATTCTTCCCTTGAAAACATAACATATCAGATAGCATCCAAGGTACTAGAATCCAGAAGTGGACAAACCTAGACTAGCCTGGAACTTTTTTCTGTTTGTTTGTTTTGTTTTTTTGAGACAATGTTTCTCAGTAGCTTTGGAACATGTCCTGAAACTAGCTCTTGTAGACCAGGCTGACTTCGAACTCACAGAGATCCGTCTGCTTCTGCCTTCCGAGTGCTAGGATTAAAGGCATCCACCACCACTACTACCTGGCTAGCCTAAAGGATTAAGGAGGTGGATATTTGTGAATGAATATTAAACCCAGTCATGAGAAATACTCCAATGGGAGAGAAGATGTATCAGTGAGTATAACTGAGAACCATAACTTAATTCTAATGGTACTTTATTATTTATCCATCTGTTAGACTAAAGGTAACAATGAGGATTAAGATTTTGTTTGAGAAGCATGTGCAGTTTCATCTAAAATAATAATTGAAGTTGTTAGTCCTTATGTTGGTTCCCGGTGCTAAAATACTTTGAGTGTTATATATAAGAAATGTATATCATTAAAACACTTTAATGCACTAAGCATAGCGGTGTACCCTTTTATCCCATACTGATCTCTGTGCACTTAAGGCCAACCTGGTCTACATATCAAGTACCAGACCCCTCAGTTATACACAGAGAGACCCTGTTGTGAGAACTGAAACAAATTGCACAGCATCCAAATCATTGTGTGGGATGCCCCTCTCTCTCTCTACTTCTTTCTCCCCTCCTTCAGCATCCTCTTCCTAATTCTCCCACTCCCCCCCACCTCTCTCTCTCTCTCTCTCTCTCTCTCTCTCTCTCTCTCTCTCTCTTTCACATACACACACACACACACACACACACACACACCATAGTGGATTCCCAAATAGTAGATTAAAGCAATTCTCAGATCTTCAAATTATTTTTTTTATTATTATTATTTCAAGATACACAGGAAATGTAAAAATTCCAACCCCTTAAAAATCTCCACCAACTCATCCATTGGCAAAGGTCGCACTAGTATTGCGGGTGAATTCTCTTAGCCGACAATATTTGTGAACTCTGACGGTGGCTGGTTGGCAGAAACACAAGAGCTTTTCCTGCTTCTCCGTTTGCGAGCACAGCAAGCAGGTGACGTAGGGCAGCTTCCGTCAACAGGACAACTCCCTGAGAGTACACTCAGGCCTGTGCTCTCAGGGACGAATGAGTTCTCACTTCTCATGCACGATGTTTTCCCAACTGACTCGGCTAATGGAGTTGCCGCTTCTCACTTAGTGACCTCGTTTGACTTCTACCACCCTTCTCCTTAGAATTCTTTCTTAGAAATGTGGTTGGCACGATCATTGATGTAACAATACCCGCCATTCCATGCTACCCATGCTACCCATGAGGACAGAGCAAGGACAGAACGCTGGTGATGGATGCTTTCTGCTCCACACCTTGGCTGCCCACCTAGTCACATGGCATGCTAGTCAAGCTGCCTCTGGCCATGTCCCTTTAATGTTCCATGCGCTCCCCTCCCCTTTAGTAGTTTTCTACTGTCCACTTGCTATGTGTGGTTTGAGTCTCTGAGCCTATTTACCTTCCTGTTCAGTTTCAACAGGTTTGACCTTGACTACAACCGAATGAAAAACTAGTACACAGGATGCCATCTTCTGAGGCCACCTTCTATGAGGCCTTTGCCTCACAGTGGTGGGAGACACAAAAAGCAAGTCCTGAAATAGCCACTGACTTTAAATATCGTTACATAAATTTGATTTCTACAGATATTAAATTGGTATACATGGGTTTGGGAACATTTTAAGATGTATTTTTCCCAGGGAATCTTTTTTTTTTTTTCTAGACAGAGTTTCTCTGTGGCTTTGGAGCCTGTCCTGGAACTCCCTTTGTAGATCAGGCTGGTCTCGAACTCACAGAGATCCGCCTGCCTCTGCCTCCCGAGTGCTGGGATTAAAGGCGTGTGCCACCATCGTCCAGCTTCCCTGGGAATCTTTGTACCAAACACCAAACAGGGTCCCTGCTGCTGTTTGGAATATAAGGTTTTGCCTCTCTTATTCTCAGTAAGTTCACTGGGCCAGCAGGACATCCTCTTAGATTAGGAATTTTAATGTGGGCATTAATCCATCACTTACCATTGCCCCTTAACCTCAGTGACCAGTCTTCTAGGGGAATCTTCTGAGGCTCAGGGTGACTCTGGAAATCTGCCTTTTTTTTTTATTCCAACATTATACTTCTAAAGAAAGAGTTTTGCATTTTGGTTAACAATTCAATGGTTTCATCTCTGGGTTAATTTAAAAGTTCAGGTAGCTACCATCTGGTCTCACAGATTTAACTACATTTGTTAGTGTTCATGATTTCCAGAATATCCTGGACCGTTTCCAATGTTTTTTTTTCAAGTACACTCAACCTGCTTACTTCAAAAAGCAATTTGTGAAAAAAAATTGTAATAACTTCCTTCTTAAAAGTGTTGACAAATAATTTATTTTACTCTCTAATGTCTGTCCTTTCCATTTAACACACCACTCGTGTTGAAGAGGGGGAACAAAGTGTATATTGTTTGTGCTTAAAGACACAGCTTTCAAACTGGGAGCCACAGAATAAAGGGGTCTTAGAGTCATTTTGTATTTCAATGTGTTAAAGTTTCTTTGATGAGATTTCTACTTTTGTAGAAAAGAAAAGAAAATGTTTACAAGCTAGTTCCTTTTTATTTTCATAGCTGAAAATAGCAGATCTTTCCGAAGGAAATATGTAATAATATTGACAGCGGGATTAAGTCTCAAGATTTTAATTGGCTTTCTTGGAGAACTTTCAAGAATTCTAGTATATAAATGTACTTCTATAGTCTCATTAAAAATTCCAAAAGTTGCTTCTCAAAATCCTGGTTCACAGAGGAGACATATTAATATGTAATACTGGGCTTGAACAAGACATGGCAAGATGTTTCGGAGATACAGATAGAGCATTGTCAGGCAAGCACGGTGACCACTACACTGCACAAATACCGAAATGGATGTAAGGCTGTGATAGATGATAATAGCAGCTGAGAATTGTGTGGTAGTTTGAATGAAAGTGGCCTCTGTTGCTTTATATACTTAGTTCCTATTTAGTGGAAGTGTTTGGGAAGGATTAGAATGTAAGACCTTGTTTGAAGAGGTGGACTTTGAGGTTTCAAAATCCCATGCTGCTGTTTTTACTTCTCTCTATTTCTCTCTCTCTCTCTCTCTCTCTCTCTCTCTCTCTCTCTCTCTCGTGAGATGTGAGCTCACAGCTATGGCTTCAGTGCCAAGACATGATACTCATAGACTCTCCCTCTGTCTCCTGAGTGCTGGGATTAAAGGCGTGCGCCACCATCGCCCTGCTCCTTTGTTTATTTATTAAAAACCCATATAATCCAGTGTGTGTTGTCCAAATACTCTTGGGTGTGATACTGTTCCCTTGAACATGGTCCACTTATCAGGAATCATGCCCTTAAGAAAAGGGACTTCTCCTCTTCCAGAAGCGATTGATTGTCATTAGTTCCTCACTTAGGGGTAGGATTAGTGCCTGCCTCACCCATCCATGCTGGGATTTTGTTTGGCTTGAATTTGCACTGGCCTTATGTATGCTCTCTCAAGCACTGTGAGTTGGGATACACCACGGCCTTGTTGTGTTCAGAAGACAGTTTACTTCTAGCCATCCATAGCCTCTTGCTCCTCCAGTCTTTTGGCCTCCTCTTTTGCAACGCTCTCTGAGCCTTGGGGAAAGGCTGTGATATATATATGTCCTATTTGGGGCTGAACCTTTCACGCTCACTTACTCTTTGCACATTGACCAGTCGGGGTTTCTATGTTGGCGGTTGCTGCGTGAGAAATCTTTTCTGATGAGAGCCGAGAAAAGAACTTTTGTATGGATATATCACTAAGTCTACAGAGTCTGTCTAGTGCTGTGTCCATTTAGCAGGGTCACAGTAATCGATTTCTCCCTAGGCAGACCATGCCCCTTATCACATCTGCAGGGCTCTCTTCCCGGTTATGTGTCTAGAGTACCATTTCTTTTAAATCCCAGTGAAAGTTTTTTAAGGAGCCTGTCAAATAGTGTATAGAAGATAACTTTTACTAAAGGAAAAGTAGTTTGGAAAGAAGACACAGTGGTCAAACTGAAAACATGAAAACACTCTTAAAGACTGACATGGTATCATGTGAGAAAGGAATTAAAAATATAACTCCAGAAGACCTTTCTAGGGCTAGTATTTAGAACCTAAGAGGCTTCTAGCCCGTTTACTATTCAAGGTGTTTACAGCTGTTACAACAGAGCGGCCACCTATGCTTGTGAAGTAACGAGTGCTTTTACATCAGAACCGGTAAGAAGGTGCTAAATCAAATTCAGACTTCCAGAGATCCTTTCAAACTGGAAATTAAATTAACATCCTAACCCTCCCCTTTATTTCAGGAATGGCGTTATTATTGGGGTTGCCTCCATTTGTATTGTTCTCATAACTTGTTCGCATGAACACTTCCCTCGGGAACTAATCACTTCTCAATGGCATTGCCTCCTAAGATCATCAATGCACAGGTTAGGATTTCAGCCTATACATTTCGAGAGCACACAATTGGGTCTTAGAAAATCATCATGTATCCATTCGGTAACAAGCTACACACTTGCTGAATGCTTGGGAGGTTTGAATATCCTCATTAATGGATCACAGTTGTCTTTAAGCAACTCTGATTGACCAGAAATTTACTCCTTATGCACTACAATGTCTTGGTTTTTATAAAGTATACCGTACAAACATTCTATTTGGTCCAGAATATATTGTGACTCCTGAAATAGTTATTAAAACAATTTACTGGGAAATAATTAGTCACAATGGAAGCCGTGTGCTCTTTAGAGCAGAGAGAACAGCTGACCGACTGTTGGCACCACCCTTCACTGTCTGCGTGAATCTGGGCAAGGCATTTAGACCGGTGATTCTGTCTGTCCCCTCCCGGATGCTGACTTTTTACCATTAATCACAGGCTCTCTTGCCTCTGCCATTGGATGGGCTGATTAAGCAGATACATCTCCAGGAAACTGGAAGGTGGAAAGAGCAAGATCAAAGTATGTTTTTCTTTGAGTGGATATCCTTTTCCCATCCAGTCCTCACCTCATTTAATAGTTCCCTTATCATGACCTATCTTTCAACATATCTTCATGGAGTTTCAGCAGCGACCTTCTCTCTGTCTCTTTTTTTTTTCTTTTCTGAGCTAGGTATGGTAATGACTCCTTGAGATGCTCATTTCTATTGCAAATATCACATGTCCTTCCCGTAGACATCTCTGTGCCTTGTGGGCTCCCTACACATCCTCACCCTTGGAAAACCACCCTTTTTCAAGATGCCACCTGCTGATTACTGAGTTTTCATTTACTACATTAGGCTGACCACGGACCAGTATTTGACCCCACGCCCATGTGTGTAAGGACAGCACTAATCAGACTCAGTCGGTTAAAAAAATATAAAAAAACAAAACAAGGACATGAAGTTGAGAGGGATATGTGTTAGGCAGGATTCTGAGGAGTGTGAAGGTAGATATAACCAAAATATATTACATACATGTAGGAAGTTTTCAAAACATAAACATGAATATTATAAAAATTATAAAAATATCCCTGAGCCTTAGTTTGCGTGTGTACTGGTGTATGCCTTTAATCCCAGAACTTCGGGGCAGAGGCAGGTGGATCTCTGTGAGTTTGAGGCCAGCGTATTCTACAGAGCGAATTCCAGGACAGGCTCCAAAGCTACACAAAGAAACCCTGTCTCAAAAAGCCAAAAACAAACAAAAACAAAAGACAAAACAAAACAAAACAAAAAACCGTGTCAATGAATTCCTGTGAATGATTAAATGAAATTCTTTTGCACTTATTCAACATCTGGCATAGAAATATAAAATATGTCTATATCCATCTCTATACGTGTATATCACAGCTGGAAATGTACTTTACATAGTAAAGTGTTCATCAAGTGTTCTCTACCCATCTTGCTTCTTGACAGGTATATTTTTTAATTGATACAAACATAGCCTAACACATGAGAGTGAAAAGAACACGCAGGGACGTGGTGGCACATACAAAAGGGAACACCCCTTTTAAGATTCTCTCTCCTGCTGAGCCCATCTAGACTTTATTTCTGGATTAGCTTACTCACTGAAGGGTAAGAAATGGGTAGAGGCAAGCATCACATGGTGGAAACAGTGTCACCTACATTCATGATGCCTAGGATAAGCACTGACTACTGCTATTTCAAATACCACACCACTACTAATGCTATATACACATGTGTGCACTCAAATGTGTGTAAAGATGGAATGAAAAATAACTTTCAGTCTCTCTTGGTAGCTGAAAAGCTGAATGAAATACTGATTCTTGAGTACATGTTTTAGCATGAAGAAAATTTTTGTATACTCTTCCCAGCAAAGTTTTCCCTGAGAAGAAATTCTTTCTCACCACACCTATCGATCCTTCCTCACATAGTTGATGCCTAGTGATGTTTGTTGACTGAATGGAACATATAATAACTTAGTTCTTTTTAGGGACCAGGATAAGAAAGACACAGATGGCTGGACAGATGGCACATAAGGGCAGGCAAGGCCTTCCCAGGGAGTCTGAAATGATTCACAGAAAACCATTGCATCACCACTGTGACCAGCTTGAGACTCCTGTGAACCTGGGAAGACACAGTCGTTAGCAACAGAATGATTAATAAGCGAAGGTTCAACATCCTGCCCCCTGCTGCAAGCAGACAATATACAGAAGGAAGAGAAGCAATGACTTCAGGACACTGGCATAGGTCAAGCCAAGACATAGCAGAAGTTGAACCACAGCCAGGGTCAAACCCACAGATCTTTCTCATCTGACATTTTCTGGGATCAAGGGTGATCATGTTTAAGTAATGGATAAACAATGTTAATATCAGAAACATACCAGCCAATTAATTTAAGGTCTACTCAGAATTCTGAATTCTGGTCGTATTGTTTGGTCACTCAATGTCGTGCAGCAACTTAGATTGCATTTGTAACTTGTAACTTTCAAACCTTTATTTCTGACATAAAAGCAAAACAAAAACTAACAGGAAATGCCCTTCAGATGGAAAGGCCTTGCAGTGTACTGAGCGCAACCTGTCTCTTTACGTTTTGCTGTTGTCATAGTTCCGTCACAGCCACAGATGTTTTCAATGAAGACCAGATCACCTGCCCCCGAAATGTGTTCTCCTATTGCCAATACTGTCGTACAGCAGAATTAGTCAATACTCTGAATAAAATAACATATGCAAACGCATAGTGTTATGACCTTTCTCCTGTTTGATATATCATTCTAAGATTCATGTGTTTGAACACGTGGTTGGTCCCCAGTTGGTTACATTATTTTGGGAGGTTATGGGACCTTGACGGGTGGGAAGCATGGCTTTCAGAGGTGGGCCTTCTGGACAATAGCCATAACTTTCCTAAGCTCTCTGCTTCCAGGTTGGTACCATGTCCCAAGCAGTTGTCACATACTCTGATTCCTAAAACCATAAGCCACGCCTACTAACTACCTCTCCAACTTTGCCACGATAGATAAATCCCTTGGACAATGAGACAAAATAAACTTTTCCCCTTTAAGTTATATCTGTCAAGCACTACTCTATCATACTCACGGAAAGGTAATGAGCACATGTACAACTAGATAAAAATTATTTCAAAATATATTCAAAACTAAGATGTAGATCAATTGAAGAAGACAACGGACATTGAGCTTTCACAGATATGTAAACATATGAACAAATTCACATACATACATGCATACATAAACACAAACATACATTAACATAGATGCGTGCACACATACACACATACATATACACACACACATTAAAACAACAACAAAAGAATAAGCAATTAAAGCCTTTGTTCTATCACGGCACAATGTCATATATGTTCAACTTCTCCAGAAATACATTCAAAATTTGAGGCTATAAACTTGCTATTCTTGAATATGATTTCTTCCAGGCTAAACTTTAAGCATTTTATAAAGAATAACAAAGAAAATAAAAAGAAAGAGAGAAGAAATTGCATTTTTTTTCATGTAGCTAAATTTGTAGAAGGTGAACGCTAAGTTAAAGCAAAAACACATTTGTTTTCAGTTTGAGAGCAATTCAGGTTTCATTACTGAAAGTCCGAGATCAGCTCTAGGAACTTGGAAATTGGCAAACTATACATGGAAATGGACTGTGAAATACGTGTACCAGAGCCATGAGAAATGAAGTTAGCAAATTCAAATCAGTCAAACTGAATGCATATTTTGAAGATATTAGAATCTGAACTCAAGGTGTTGCATAAAGGACTGAGTCATTATTTCCAGAAACTATTTCATATTTTCTGAGAGAGCGTCAAATGAGCTACTTAAGTGTAATTGGTTCATGGCCTCCTTTTCACACAAGTCATTTAAACGTGAAGGCATGAAAAAAAATACGAAGATGCATATTATATAGATAGGCAGAAAAGATAGGTTTAAAAAACTCTTGCACAATGTTAATGTGTTGATGAATAAAAGGAGATTACCAAGTGTGAGTGTGTGTGTGTGAGAGAGAGGGGGGGGAGGGAGGGAGGGAGAGAGAGAGAGAGAGAGAGAGAGAGAGAGAGAGAGAGAGAGAGAGAGAGAGTTTTTCATCATGTTGCAAGCTTGTATGTCAGCAAAGGCTATAGAAAGGGAAATTTCCCGGATGGAAGTGTGATATGAGTCAAGGAGTGGTCCTTGTGTCTGTCAGCATGTTTCTATGCCATTTGTGATAAGCCTAAAATGCAGGTTATGATACCCATAAAGAATTATTCAGGTAAGTCATTGATATCCATAATATCATTTAGTTTCTCAGAAATAACAGTCTCTGAGATTATAATTCTAATGCCTGCACAAATGACTTCAGCAAATCACTCATCTGTGTTTGCTAGTTCACCTGATATCTATGCTTATAAGATAGCCTCTCTTCTTCTTTCTCTCTGTCTCTTTATGTCTCTGTTTCTCCTTTCCCCTCCATATCTTCCCCTTACCTTTCCCTTCTCTTCTCTTTCCCTGCCCTCCGTTTCCCATCTTCTCTCTCCCCTTCCCTTCTGTTTTGTGGGTTTCTCTGCAAATACAATGGCCAGCAGGCAAGAAGGAAACACAGTTCAACATCATTCAGTCACTAGTGTTGGCTCAAACTTCGGGATCTGACACTGAGAAGTTTATTTTAGGCATGTTTAAGCACAGCACAATTGTGGAAAAGCGGTTTCTGATAATAATCAACTCAATCCTGTGTGTACAACAAAGCTTAATTCATGATTATAGTGAAACTCTTCAAAGTCTATGTGACCCTTACCACAGAGATGGTTTCTATCTTCTGAGAAAAAAAAATATTCAAGATAAGGGTCTAGGGAGAATAGCTGAGATAAATATAAAGTCTGAGGGAGTCAGCTATGATCTGGCCCTACAGACCGCACAAATCACCCAGCTATTGATTATACCCACCCCCAGGCTTCTGGGAGGAAAAGAGATTGTACATCCCTTCAGTTAAGGAGATAACCCTGCGTGTTTAACATTCCTAGTTTCCCTAGTGCTTATCTTTGAGCACAAGGACCTTATGCCTTCTACACCTCTCCTCTTCTCTCCTCTCCTCTCCCCTTCCTTCCCCTTCCCTCCACTCTCTCTCCTCCTATTCCTTCCTGTCCCCTCCTTTCATCTCCCCTCTCTTCTCCTTTCCTTTCCCTGTCTCTTCTCCTCTCCTCTCCCCTTCCTTCCCCTTCCCTCCACTCTCTCTCCTCCTATTCCTTCCTGTCCCCTCCTTTCATCTCCCCTCTCTTCTCCTTTCCTTTCCCTGTCTCTTCTCCTCTCCTCTCCCCTTCCTTCCCTTTCCCCCTCCCTCTCCTCCTATTCCCTCCTATCACCTCATTTTCTCTCCCCTTTCTTCCCCTCCTCCTCTCCTCTCCTCCCTTTCCCTTCCTTCTCCTCTTCTTGAAAAATCCATATACTAACGGGAAAAGACAATTTAATGTAACTTTAAAACCTCACTTCCCATTTCAAATAATATGCATTACTTTGGGACAAATTGCTAGGTACTGCATCTGCAAATATTTTAGAAATTCTATGAAAGTTAATAACCTCTTTCAAAATGTGGCTATAGCATTATTAACATAAATAAATGGAAACTATTTCCAAGTTCCCTTGCAATTGGTCTCTTTTCCTCCTCCATCGTACAAGTTAGCTGCTGAAGAAACCAGGTCACCTGTCCTGTTGAGTTTCCCGCAGCTTGGAGCTGCGAAGTTCTAAGGACAAAAAAAGTAATATATGAAGTGTGAGCATTCACAGCTTTGCCCACCTGGGCCCTGAAAGAAACCTGAGTTTTCCATTTCTCCCTTGCAATGTTGTCCCCCCCATTCTAGACAACAACACAGAGAAACAGGCCTGGGGAAAGCCAGGATGAAGAACTTGCCTTTAAAGTGATGATGTCTTTGTTTTGATGCAGAAAGGAGAGAAATGGAGGTGAGAAACAAGAGGAGGGAGTGAAAGACAGGGACTTCAAAGGCTTGGTCTGTGGCTGGTGAGAACCTGCAGAGTAAGAGCTGGTGGAGAGAGGAGATGTGGGGATGGCTGACTCTCTGTGGTAACAGTGAAGCAGAGGGCTGGTTTCACAGGGACTGCTTGCTGTACATAGGTATGTACTGACTTTCTCCCGCAGTTTGTTTTTTAGGTAAGTCAAGGAACGACAGGACTTATTTGCTTCATAATTTTTAAAAAGTCAAGCAAGCACTTTTTTTTTTAAATGTCACTGAAAAGAAATTGAATCGTAGGTTGGTTATTCTATACTTCACCCCTAATATTTACTTATGAGTGATATGTTACCTACCATAGGTAACAAAGAGGGCCCGAAGAGAATCTCATGGATTTCCCTGGGAAGGGTAAATAGAAGATATTTTCTGGGTAGACTAGGGACAGGAATGGCGGGGGAATAAGGGGGGAGTGAGGGATCAGGTTGGGTGGACTGGGTGCCTGAGGTGGTTTGGGAGCAGGACAGAGGGGAAGAGCAACAAAAGAGATGTCTCTATGGAGAGGAGGGGCATTTCAGGGTTAGGGAGAAATCTGGTGCCAGGGAATTTCCCAGGAATACATATGGATGACCCTAGCTAAGACTCTTAGCAATATGGAGAGGGTGCCTGTGTAGCAAGAAGATGCTTGTTCGTCCCAGCCTCCCAGAACTGAAATAATCACACAGAAACTATATTAATTAAATCACTGTTTGGCCCATTAGCTCTAGCATCTTATTGGCTAACTCTTACATCTTAATTTAACCCATTTCTATTAATCTGTATATCACCATGAGGTCGTGGCCTACCAGCAAAGTTACAGTACGTTTTATCTCCAGGGGCAGACTCATGGCGTCCTCCTTAACTCTGCCCTTCTTTACCCCAGCATTCAGTCCAATCCTCCCCACACACACCTAAGTTGTGCCCTATCAACAGGCCAAGGCAGTTTCTTTATTCATTAATGGTAATCACAGCACACAGAGGGGACTCCCACATCATGCATGAACTGGTCTCCTGTAATTGGATTGGTGACTGCCCTAATTGCCAACAGAGAATTTTTATCTAGTAACTGATGGAAACAGTTGCAGAGATCCACAGCCAAGAAAGCCAAGAACTGGGCTGAGCTCCCTGAGTCCTACTGAAGTAAGGGAGGAGGAAGTGTAAAGGCCAGAGCTATCAAGGTCAGGATGCAGGAACCCACAGAGACAGCTGACCTGAGCTAATGGAGCTCATGGACTCCGAAACAACAATTGGGGAACTTGCCAGGGATTGACTTGGGTCCTCTGCAAGGATGTGACAGTTGTATAGCTTAGTCTGTTTTGGGAGCTCCTGGCAGTGAGATTAGAACCTGTCCCTGGCACTAGAGCGGGCTTTTGGGAGCCTATTCCACATCTGGATTTCCTTGCCCAGCCTTGATGCAGGGAGAGAAGCTTGGTTCTGTCTCAATTTGAGGTTCCATGCTTTGTTTAGGCCCATGGGAGGCCTGCCCCTTCCTAAATGGAGACTGAGGAGGAGTGGATGGGGAGGGAGTAAATGGGGGGGGGGTTTCAGGATGAGAGGAGGGAGGGGTATGTAGTTGGTATGTAAAAATAAAAGTAAAAAATAAATATTTTGAAAAGAAAAAAGAAATAGGATTACTTGAGGTATCAATGATCTTTTGATCCATTTTTGTCAAGATCTCTCAAATT